GCGGCCCTGGAATGAGTTTCAGACGCATGATGCATGCTTGGAAATGAAGACTGACAGATGGAATATATGCTCCCATTTGGGGTCGAGGTTCCTTTCAATCGTGCGCGTGCGCTGCACTTCCTTGCCATCTCGATACAGTGCTACATAGAGATTCGGTTTCTTGCCGTGCAAGGGGCCGGGCTTCCATGAGATCCCGCTGGCGGATAGCACTGTCAAATGGATGAGATGAATCTGATGAAATGCGCGCGCAGGGGATTTCGTACCGATGAGTGAGCTGTCGATGTTGGACATGGAGAGCGGTGGGGTGCTTCGCGGGCGTCCGTTATAAATCGTTCATGCCCGCAGCCCTGGACAGCGGAAATTTTGATGGTGCCTGGAACTGCTAGTTCTTTGAATGGATTCGTTCATGCATACTTTCGTCGGGTGAAAGCACCCACCGACTGCGAGGTGACAGTTCAGGGTCTGGCGGCCTTGATGAATCCTGCCGCGTGGTGTCCATTGTGTCGATTGTCGCCGATATCGAACACAGAGAAGGTTTCTGACGCACGCTGTCCGTGTGTATTTCTTCAGCCACCTGCATCTCAGCATCAACGCCCCGAAACCAAGCAAAGCAAACGCACCGAGACAGCCCAAGAAGCTACATGTCTGCAGCAGAAACACGCTAGACACACCCACAGGCCAAATCACGAAGTTAGAAGACGATTGATGGATTAGTTTTTTCTTTCTTGAGCTGGAGCCTGGCGGAAGTCGCAGAAGCTAGACTCGAGGACAAATAGCCACGCCCAGGTGGCACGATCCGATAAATACCCAAAGCCCAAGTGTTATGTGTGTCAATTTCGTGGTGGTGGTGCGGAGGAAAGAGGTGTTTGACGTTGCTTGGTTGTTGATTGGCGTCATGACTCATGATTGATGGTGGCGATCTTTCCTCTCACCTTGCTCTCACCACGACCATGGACGACCATCCGCGGACACCCATTCCGATGACTCGCTGCTTTCGATATGCCTCTTTCTCCGTACACCTGTCTCCGGCTCTCGTTCAAAGTCCGAATGATTCAAAAACGCCCGTCTCAATCGACGCTCTCCTCTCGGAAAGTCTCACTCTCCGGGTTCTTTCAATAACACGAAAATGAATGATACCCGCCCGAAAAGCTGCACTTCACCCATGCCATGGCATGGGTCGGCATCCCAGCACTCATGCTCCCAGGCTTCTTCTCAGAATGCAACAATGAACCAAAAGGCTTCGTTAACATCGGCCGACGCGCACGACGCCCATTGTCCCTCACATATGACACACCAAACGGCTGCTCGTCGGATTCCTCTGGAGCGCAGACTCTACGAATATATATTGAGAAGGGCAGGAAACGGAAACGGTGCGTGGTTCACATGTAGAGCTCGACTACCTTGCTGAGATGAGAGCCTTCTAGGCCTACCGGTCGCGTCGTGCCGTCCTCATCTGTCTTTTCAACGACGCGGACCGATTGAATGACCATCCCTCACGCATACCACCCGTATACTCCAGCCTCCAGGCTCTCGCCATGCGGAGGCTCAGAGGACGACGCATACGATTGGCCACTTGCGGAGCTACGGCCACGGAGTTGAGATTGCGACGGCCGCCCTATCTGCGCCGTGGATGGACTGAATCTGGGCGAGATCGCTTCGGTCTCAATGTGAGGATACGGTCGAGTGAGGTATGGTACGCTGGATGTCGGATCGTCGGGGCATGTGCTCCTCTTCTCTCCTCTCTTCTTTCTCCCGCAACAGCGCTAATCTTCGGCGTATGTAGGTGTGACTTTTTCTCTCTGCGATCTCGAGTCCACACCGGTGAGAATCCCAATTCAGCGGAGTGGTCCGATAATTGCCCGATGTCCATGTCAGCGGTCGTGTGATCCTTCTCCAATGAAAATCCGTCAAGCGGAGTCCAGCCTCCACAGCACCCTACCCACGCACAGCACTGACCCAGGCATAAAACGGTGTCTCGAAGTTAGGTTAGATCCCCCACTACCCATGCGCACCGCGTACACGAGCTGTCAATCCCCCTCCGAGGGACTTGATTCCGTTGGGCCTCAGTATGTGGACCGCATTGGAGTTCTGACCGAGTTGACCGCATTGGAAAATAGATCGTCAGGCGCCTTCTTCTCCGGGGCGCATCATTTCACTGTGAATGGCGGAACGTTCATCCACAATCATCAGGACACCACGGACATGGCCGGCATGCGTATGCCTTCCTCAAAAGATTGGGTGTTGACGATGATCTCCCAGATTTCAGGATGATACGGCGAGGCGATATCGATCTACAAAGAGAGATACGCCTCGAAAGTGATGCTGCTGTAGCCGACTGGTCTGCTGGTAGTCACGAAACTGTGCGCCGAACATTTTCTGCGAAGGTCCCCGGGCTATCACCGCATACCGTTTGCCAGTCAGCTCGAGTCTTACCAACATCACACACAAACGTGGCATGGCTGGTCGGCAAATTTGAGCTCCCAGGTTCGATTCCTGCTAGTCAGATTACAGGAGACCTCTTCAGTATTTTTCATCGAAACACAAGAAACTGGCCAGTATTTGGCCAGTATGGTGGGTTGTGTTTTTCCCTAGATCTCTGTGTCTCTCGCGACTCGAAAAACTTCGGCAGATGCCCGTGGTGCGTCCTCGCCGCCAGGCGGTTGAAACTCAGCTGTAAATAACGGTGCGGCGTCTCGACAGTGATCCCATCACCCCGGCTACTCGCCATTACCTCACGGCAACTGTGCCAGACCCGGGACCGTGCCATGAAGTTGTTTTTGCCTAGCAACTCCTCCATTCTTACGGCCTTTGCCCTTCAAGAGGCCCGCCATACCGCTGTCGAGATGCTTATCAGCGCCTGGTTTTCGAAGGTGGAAGGAAGGAATGAAGGAAGGAATTGACCGGCACAAGGTCCCGCATGGTGGGTTCTCATGTCGGAATTGGCAATCGCCAAAGCGTACCTGATCAGCCTTGGCTTCTCTTCAAGTTGCTTTCGTCATTTGAAGAATCCCTGTACTCACGTCAGGAGGACAATTCATTTATCGTTCACAAGGTATGTGATTCCATTCAAAGGGGGAGACAGATTGACTGACTGGTTTCACTTGAACACATGTCAATGTCAACCCCCCTTTCCTAGTTACGCCATATAAGGCACAAGACGGACGGATTCTCCTCTTGCTGAACGTTCCTTCCCCACATTGACGATGCTTCACCTCCTTGTCTCTCTGTTAGGTACTCCCCCGATCTTCCCCTCCTTGTACGCCACTAAGACCTATCCCCGCACCCAGCCCTCGAAGGCGCACACGCCGCCATCACCCTCGTCCAACCCGCAGCCACCTCCATCCCCTCCAAATCCCTACCAAGCTTCTCCCTCCCGAGCTTGTCCCTGCCTTCGGGCGTCAGCTTCCCCCTCCCTTCGCTCAGCATCCCCACACCAAGCTTGTCCCTCCCTTCGGGCGTGAGCTTCTCCCTGCCCTCACTCAGCATCCCCACAAGCCGCCCGAGCATCTCAGCCACCGAAGTGTTCACCGTGAGCGTCGGCGGCGTTGCCAGTGCTGACGGCGCGACGACGTACGCCCTCGAGGAGATATTCGGTGTCGACGGGTCAACGACGACAATCGGATGTACGTTATCCTCCCTAATCGCTATCTGCTCAAATACTCACCTGGACGTGTGACACAGACACATTCGCCCAAGGCGCAACCGTCTGGCGGCAAGACGACCGCCACGAAACATGCTCCCTCGACGGTCACGGCAAAGCAGTCTGCTCTATCGGCGTCGCCGGCTTCGAGACTGGGTTCACGGGCACCGCATTCCCCCTTGTTACCGTTGGCTCGGACGGCCAAATCCAAGGCGGTGGCCCGGGGTTACCGAATCCTACTGCGACGGCTCCGAGGAGCGGTGATGGTGGCAGCGGGAGCAGTGGTGGAGGTGCGGGTGGTGGAGCGATTGGATTGGATGCGCGCGCTTCGTTGGGATGGGGTGTTGTGGTCAGTCTTGGGGCGGCGGTTGCTGCGATGCGGGTGTTGTTCTAAGGCTGGTGATGAAGTAGTAAAATGTCTCGATAATGAAACATACCCTGCAATCACGGTTGACATAGTCTACCGCGAGCCGGGTTCTACGGCCGCGTGCGTTTGTGGTCCGTCCTTTCATCTTCTTTTCTTTTTTTCTTTTGCCTTTTGGCTCACCAACAGTAGTAGTTTCTGAATCTACCAAGGTGTGCGCCGGCCAGGTATCTGAATCCCAAGGCCGCAGTGTTGAGACGTCAGCCAGTCTCTGAGACGAGTGCCCCTTGACAGGCTTCAACTCGAAAATAACGGTCCAGGGTTAGATTCCCTGGCAGTTACTAGACTTGAGAAGTCTGAATCTGGCTGCGAGGCTGCGACGGGTTCGATCCCCGCGGTGTCTGTGGGAGGATGGCATTTGCTATTGGAATTTTTGCTTCCCGGAACTTTGAATATGTGCTCGGCTACATGGGTCTCCCAGTCCGAGCGTTCAGCTCTTGAGTCGGAATCCTGTACGTGTATTTTTTAGCCTTTGGTTGAATACCTGTGTGCTCTCCAAAAATAGGGTTAGTCCTGGCTTAGGTAGCCGTCCCGAGTCGAACGGGATGTCTCACATGTGGGTGTCGATGATAGATCAAACAAGGCTTGATTCTTTCTCTCTTCTGGCATGTTCGTTGTCCTCTCCTCGTCAAACGCAATGGCCTCATTTGTATCTGGCTAGAGTTGAGTCAGTTGCCGCAAGCACTAGCCGTGACCAGTGTTCAGAATTTCAAAGCGACGTTCCAGGGCTTAAGAACGTCAAGCTGATCAAACTTCCAATCACCCCCATCAAGGGTTAATCACTTGGTTCCCGGACCGGTTCATCGTTGGCTCACTGAATACTGAACCGAGGGTAGAATTTGTCTCCCTGTCCTCACTGCATGGCGAAAGTCTAACCTGCCCCAGTCAGCTTCTCCAGTGTCACATTGATATGACAGCGCCCTCCAACTCCCCACCGGTTCGATGGTGTAGTTGGTTTATCACTTCTGTCTAACAAGAATGGTCTTGTCGCACAGGCGGTCCTCAGTTCGAACCTGGGTCGAATCAGTTTTGCTTGGGAAGATGTGCAGGAGCCATGCGGTACCCTGCTTTTTCATGATCCGATGTTCGGTCGCGTGGAATGCTTTTTCTCCCCGTGTTCCCTGCAAAATTGCGCTCTGGATGCGCTGAGAGGATGTATCAGAACCCCGAGCACCTGAAAAGCCAGGTGGAGGAAGGCCGAACGAGTTCGCAACCGCTGCGATCAGGGAGATCATCCGGGTGTGATGGTGATTCTGAAACACCCCCAAACAAGTAGGCTCGTACATAGACCAGCCGGTACTCATCACAACTTCCGGACACGAGATTATCTTTTTGTGTTTGTTTGGTGTGATGGCCGAGTGGACGTGACTAGCCCGCGAGTCTACCAAACAAATTGTATCGAGACGGCAGGCGCCGCCGGAGCCTTTGATGCTCCCTGATGATCATGAGCAGCTTATCCGTGTGGGCTTATGTGGCACGGCAGCCTCTTCCTCCGTTTTCGCAGGGAATCTTGACTTTGTCTTTGCGTAAGTCTTGTCTTCCTTCACGTTCGAATTGGCCTTGATGAATCCTCGAATAAACGCCAGCGTCGGTGTGATTGGATTGCCCGACAAGCCGTGCCCGCCCAATATCGCATCTATAACGGCGAATCTCATCGGGGTGGTTTATACCATGCAAGGTACATGCCCGTACCTTATTTTCCCCGGCCCCTAGATAATCCGAATAACTGACTCTTGTTCTGTGCTTCGTTTGCGTCTGGGAATCAAATTGAACCTGAGGGCAGCCACAGATACTCATTTGGGGGTGGAGGAGCAGCGGAAGGTTCAACTTCCTGAACCGCTAATCTCCAGGTCGTAGGGCGATGGTGAGGCGTGAGAATGAACCCCAACCACCACCCTACCTGTGTGCTGCCCCACGGGCCGTTGAAAAGCTGAAGCAAATTGACATATGATGTACTCAAGACCTCAGTTTTGAAGGCGAGGGCGGGCGGGGAAAAGTTTTGGAGGTCTTGGAGGGTGGATTCATCGACGTACACGCTGCATTGCACGAAGTGCTGGCAGATGGTCGTGGTGTGATGAGAGAAGGTGCGGATGACAAATCATGTGTCACTCCGCTGTCACAAGAAACAGTGCTGATGTCGCAAGCTCATCAGTACTACACAACGAACGAACGCAGCCGCCATCGCCCACTTCCGTGAATTCAAAACGGGCGGAAGAATCCTCGTCACCGCATCTCAAGATCTGCAGGCAGGCACCCGGCAAGTTGAATTTCACGATCCGATGTTCGGTTCTTGAGATTCCTTTCAGCAGAGTCGAGTGAACCTTTGCATAGGTTCGATTCCTAGCGTTCGCATTCTTGCGGTTGGTTACAATTGTTGTTTTTGTTTTTGTTTTGTGTTGGTTTTTGTTTCGCTGCCAGACAGATGGGGTTTCCCGCCGTAGAGCTCCAAGTTGGACTCGAGGAGTCGGCGAGTCGCGCATACGGACACTCTAGGTTCGATTCCTTAGTGTCTCATCGTTAAGACCAAACGAATTCATCACTCACGCGAACTAGATCTGAATTTTAGCTGCTGCAAGACGGAACGATTCCTTGGAGAGATAAATTCTGATCACGTCCTTCCAATTCGTCCACCTCCCAAACCAAAGGTAATACAATCTCCAAAGTCCCATAAATGTTGGTCTCATCTCATCGTTACCCTCAAACACCCAACCCCTCCCACATCTCAACATCCAAAGTCCCATCCTGATTATACCCAACGCTCTCAAGCCTCGCCATAAACGGCGATTCGACGTGTTCCGGGATCGGAGGCGGCGCAGCGGGGTCCAGTACGGAGAGCATAAAGTCGTTGAAGAGTGTGTTTACCCTGGATGAAATGAATGAATGTCAGCCACGGATAACAACACTCACTCCTCCGGATGCGTAACAACACCAAAATGCGGCGCCCCCTCCACCTGCTTGACGTCCACGTCTACTCCCGCCTCGCGCAAACGCTCAGCAACCTCGTTCGTCGAAGAAATGTCGTACGCGACGTCAGCGGCACAATACACCAACTGGACGCGGCACCCTGCCTTGGCTAGCACCCGGAAGGAGTCGACGCTGAACGGCTCGCGGTTGGTGAAGAAATCGACCGTTGACGCTCGGAAATCCTGCAGTCTTTCTACGGTACCTATTTGTTGCGGTACGAATTCCATGGATTTGCGAAAGATTCTGTTCGGAGGAACGAGAAAGCGAATTCAGGAGGGGAGAAGAATGTAATTGATCAATAACCTACGCTTTGTAAAGTTCCGGCGGTTCGTTGTTGACGGAAAGTTGCAGAGTACCGTCGAGGGCCGTCTTGAGGAAGGAGCCCGGGTGGAGGGTTTCCCCCGTCGTTATGCCCTCGGCCCAGAGTTCGTAGATTTCCGCCCGTCCCGCTGCGGCGGCGGGTGTCTGGAGGATAACGTGAGCCTTGAAATGGATTCCAGCAGACGCACACGCACCTCGATAAGCGGGAGAGGCGACACAATGAATATCGACTGGACACATTCGGGGAAGACAATGGCCGTTTGCAACGCGACGCATCCGCCCATAGACATGCCGAATATATGATAGCGTGGAATCTGCAGTGTTGACTATCCCGGAGTTGTCATTGGGAGCGAGAGATAGATAGATAGTAGCCACGCACCATGACGAGCGCGACGTCCTTTGCAGCAACCTCCCGTCCGTACCCCTCGCCCGTACCCCCGATCGTTTCCGCGTGGCAGCGAAGATCCAAGCCGATGAGATTGAAACGGCGTGTCCGACGGTCGGCGAATTGGCCTGCATGCAAGCTTTCTTTGAGCATCATAGCGAGTGTAGGCAGTCTGAAAACACGCACAGTGGTACATAATCTTGCCGATGTAGACTGGATGCAAGAACACCACTGTCGGGAGTGCGGGGTCTATGCAGGGTGCATCGCTGAATGCCGGCGTTGAGATGAGGTAGCTGAATGTAACGGTGCCGGTGGGCGTGTCAAGCGTGACTGTGGGCATTGTCGAGGACGAGTAGGACGAGGGCGGGCAGGTCGAAGGGAAGGAGAGATGAAAGGAGAGATGAAAGGAGCGGTGTGGGTTTCCGTTGATGGCCATGATGGAAGCGCTGGAAGCATCGGGAATTTGAAATTTATTCAATACCCATCATTTGATGCATCACGACAGTGGCTAAGATATTTAGATGATCAGGCTGCGGTGGGTGCGGAATGGTGAAGGCTTTCGCCACAATTCGTCGTCCGCATTCACACTCACTGATGCCTCGACCTTTGGCGCCACTTTCAAAGTGCAGGTACAGGCACAACTGCTTGATGCCAATGATGCCGCCTGACAAGACAAGCGACGATCCACTGATTCCGATTCGCGTGGGCGAGCATTCAGGCGACATCCGACGCCGCCCTTTGTCCCTGGTATGAGGCGGATGAACGCCTTTACACTTAGGCGGGTTTAATTTATCTGCTATCTTGCAAATGAACTCAGTACGGAATCCAGGTGTAATGGCAGCCGCTTTGGTTGGCAGACACTTCATTCACTACGGAGCAAATATTTCCTGTATCAAAATGGAGACTAAACGCAGGAAGGGAACGCTGCAGCTGTGGAGAGGAAATGTAGCGGGCCGAGCGGCCTCAGTGACTCAGATCTTGCTCAGATCTGAATCACTGATGCATTACATTTGACAATCATCTGCCAAACACGCCGCTAGCCTCTTTCGTCTGTCCCACGAAGACGATTGATCCCATTCTCGCCACTGTGTGCAAGAGCCCGCTGTCGGGCGAATGTACATGTACAAATGCTCCGCCTGTGCACGAATCAACTCCAGGATAGACTATGCCTCCATGCGGCGCGCGCCACGCGGGGGCATTGCTCGACTTTTACGTCTCCCAGTCGTCTACCGCTCTTCTTTGCCTCGCGTCAACTGTGCAGCGTTGGGAATGACTCACTGAACTAGTCATTCGCTCCCAGGATGAAGGAATCGAGGTCTCACACGCCCTTCTTTTCGTCCACTCTCACCGCCAACGATGGAGCCCATCTTTCGCGGCGTCGTGTACCTCCTCGATCTCGGAGACAACGCACAGCCTGCCGAGTATCATGCGTTACAGCACCTTCTCGACGAGCACGGAGCCAAAGAAACTGATTCCTTCGCCGATACCCCGGCGACACGCATAATCACGACCAGTGGGCACTACTTCAAAATGCTTGAAAACCCGTGGTGGAAGATCTGTCAAGGCAACGGCGTCATCGTGACGGTGAGTCGCTTTTTGTAGCTGTATTCGTTCCTCGTCTAACGCGCGAGCCAGACAGAGTGGGTGTACAGGTCAATAAGCGCGGGCGTGCAACGACCGTGGGTACCCTTCACTCGTTAAATGGGCCGCTCATGGACTAGGTTTCAGCTCCCAATATTACTCTGCGGATCCCGGGCTCTTCTTGTCTGGCTTCGTCCTCTCGACGCACGATGTGCGTCGCATGACCTTCTCCCGAGTGCGAACTGATACTATTCCAGATAGAGTCCTCTTGCGTGTCTCGAGAACGCGAGCAGGTCATCGAGTACGGCGGAGAGTGGCTCGACGCTCTAGCAGACCACACCACGCATCTCATCAGCAACAAATCCGACTCGCCTCCTGGGCCCGTCGTCGTGTCCACCCATTCCCTCCGCACATTGCTTGCTCGCAAGGAGCGTCTCCCTCACCCGTCCGAGTGCGTTGTCGACGGCCAAAATGTCTCGGCAGCCCACTTTTATTGCCACGGCCTCCTTTCCCAAAGCCCGGTGCCCATCGTCGCCAGCCCCACTCCGCCGAATCGCCGTCTTTCCCTTCCCTACTTTCCCTGCGAGATCGTCACCGAGATATTCCTCGTATACCAATCGGACGCTCTCGCTACGCGGCCAATTCCGGACATGACCATGGATTTCTCCTCCCTTGAATCACTCATTCCGGGCTTCAAGATGCCGGTCCAATTGTCGCGCCCGCCGCGCTTCGACTACATGCGCGAGATTTTGCTCCTCACTCACGTCTGTGGCCG